GTGAGCCTAGGGCAAACCACCGCTCGGTAAGTTTAATTGAGTGCAAAAATGTCGATGGTCGCTCGTAAAAGTTCTTGTCTTACAATCTCCGTGTCATATCAGACACAATCAGAGTACCATGGCGAAGGACAGAATGCCACGTAGGGAATGACAGAATGTTATAAGGGGCTGATCATTAAGAATGCTTCATTGGGGGCATCCCTTTATTAACCTCTGAAGTTAAGGGCAAACAATTTAAGGGGCACACCATTCTGCTTTCAGGGGAAGAGGGGAGTGTGATGAACGTCAACGAAGCTATTCGTGTAAAGAGCTGTTTGAGTGAGGGTTTGCGAGTGGGTGGATAAATATTCTATAGGTGGACGGGGAGATGTTTGCATTTCGTTTGGGTGGGTGGGTAGTTTTATTCTTAAAGTAGGATGTTTACTAAACCACTAAACAACTCCCGAAATCCACTTGGGTACATTTGTTGTCAGTCTTTACGTTCGGTACACGGCGGGGCAGAATGTTATAAGGGATTGACCATTTTAACAGACTGATACATGGGGACATAACTTTATTTCTGATGGGAAACGCAGAATTGTATAAGGATTGACGTTTTTAAACCTTAAGGGAAGAACAGAATGAATGACTCTAAGCGACGGCGACGCAATCTGTGGTATTAACACAGCTCGATGGACGTGCGCCCGTACTGATAAATTTCTCCACGAAAAAAACAAACATGTAGCATTTCTATTTCCATGAGTGGAACTATAACCCGTATATTACTGTCATGTGAAAGAAATATAATGGTATGTTCATCAAATTTGCATATAAAAACATTTTAGTATATATACGGCACATATGTGGCAAAGGCGAGTGTCGTTATCCACTCGTCGCACCTTTCCAGTTTCCAAATATATGATTAATATATGTATATGAAATAATTACCAACATAAGTTTTTATTCTAGCCAATGAAAGCCAATGAAGTCAGTGAAATCGGAAACAGCCACTTGTGGCGCTGTATAGTTTTGAAAACTTTAGTGACTCGCAAAGTTAGACTTATAGTATAAGACGCAGCAGCACTTGTTACATTTGGTGACCAGTTTAGTATTTGCTTGCGGCGTTTCTTAATAAATGCTTGCTAATAAACTGTGAACCACTTTCCCAGTGACACAGACACATTTTGCAGTCTATGGAAATACATCTACAAATACATCCACTTAGTGAGAGGATACTTCGTGTTTAATGAATCCTCTCACTACCAAAGTCTGGCATCACCACCTATTCGTCCATAACTCCCTTATCAACCATCTACATTGTCCCCTTCCTCCACAACAAGGTACAAACTTCCCTTAAAAACAATCAACAGGTATTAAATAGTCCATGTCTACTTCAGTGAACCAATTTATAGTTCTAGTTCCCATAACTCAGTAAGCGTTGCCGATATAATCGATAATTGAGGCATGCTTTAAGACAAATGGTCTATTATACGTAACAACGACAAATACATACAAATTATGTTCATATTTTAATGTGACTTTGAATGACTAAAAGCTTTCTTACAACTGAGTACCATTTTGGTAGTTCATTATTCATTACCAATATGCAAAATAATTTAATCGCAATGAGCAACTGGTGTGTGTAGACAATTGTATTTCTAAATTAACGAGTTGAAGCCAAGCAAGTGTCGTTGGAGCTCAAAGGTACATCAATGACGCCGAACTTGTCAGCTACTGTTAATTGAAGCCAGTTTGATTCCGTTCCATAAAAATCGCTTCCACATCCTGTCAAGTAGCCCGCTGCCATCTCAGCAACGCCCAAGACGGATGACCAGAAATTAAAATCCATAATTTGCCCTTCTACCGCTTGCCAGGCCTTAAAACCACCTTTGTAAATGGTCTGTTGTTGTCCAAGGGTGAGGTGACCATTACCAGTGATTTTCCCATCTACATTGTACCCACAATCCCTCATCCGGCTGGTCCCGTCAACTATAAAATTAAAAAAACCACCCTGGGACTGCCAGGTGAGACATGCATGGTGCCATATGCCATCGTTTAGAGCCACACCGGTCGATCGTACCGTCGCTTTGATGGTTAAACCTACATTGACTGTATTACGAACGCTGAGCTCATCGGGGTTGTCAGGTACCGAGTAAGAGAATAGGGTGCCGGTGCCCTTGGTTTTTATCCACATACACGTCGTCAACGCCGTCATGTCGAAGAGCGGTGCTGGGGCAATGACGTATGAATTGACGGTTCCATCCAGTTCCAATGCCCGTCTTTCTGTTAAAAAAAATGATATGAAAAAAATAAGTTTTCACAATAAATTCGTTGGTTATACATATATTTTGCCATTTTTTGCACTTGTTATCAATTGTTCCAGTGGCATTTGAGCCATGACGTGTCTCCGTGGTAATATAGTCATAATCATTTTCGTAATAGAATAAAGTCATAACATTATTTGTGGTGACACGGAAAGAACAATTTATATAATTATCTGCTGACGTGCTACTGTAGTTCCAATATTTGGCACCGAACAAATTATGTAGCAAAAATAATATTTGTATTACACAATAAATCATCGGGGTTGTATTATCAAGATGCAATACTAAGCAAATTTATTCAAACTTGCTCAAATATTTGTCCATAAGTGATATGCTCGTAAGTGTGGATAGAATAGATTGTGGAATTGTATACACACCTGATTCAACTTGCTTGTAATCAAAACAATCTATGTTGGCTTGAGTAACTTGACCGTCTTTCAGTTTGCAACCTTGAGTTGGTGCATCATATTCCCATCGCTCGCACCCAATACTGTCTGAACAAGCTTTGCAGCACAGGAAAGGGGTAATCGTCAGTAAATCTATTGGAGACCCATCAACATCCATGCTGTTACAATCTGATGGCAGATAAATATATATATCATACGTCACTACAATGTTTTCTTCAACGTGTGTCAAGCTGAAATTCGGCGTAGAAGGTTTCAGCATGCAGCCACTTTGTATTATATTCATGGGGATTTTGATTGGTTGTGGTGCATAGAAAAAAAAGTAAAGTATTTATATATGTATTCGCTCGAGGAGGGAAAGGCACCGAGAAAACTCGACCCATACAGTCGACACTAAACGATTGTGACCGCATGGAAGTGACTGCTTACGAGACGAGTTTTGTATGAGTACACTCATTATGCTACACGATAGGTCGCAGTGTATCGGGTAATCATTGCTGGCGATGACAGAAAAACAAATGTACATACAGTCAAATGGTCCTATCAATGGACATGGATCACCTACGGCACGTGTGAACTTCACATTTCTCGCATCTGTACTCTGTTTAGAATGAGAATCTATTTAGTAAAGTAATATGCAATTATGACATTGGCCATAGTTGTAGTAATCATTTTCAGTATTCGCCTGCAATTTATAAACAAGTAAGCTTATGATCCAAATACCCGAAATATCGAGT